CAAGGATAAGGAGGGTCTAGAAGTGTACGGAATGTTGAAGGAAGGAATAGGGTTCAAGGACTACCTACATGGACCAATGGATGCAGGAACAAAGCTTACGGTCAAATTCAGGACCGGGGATATAGGCCTTCGAGATTGTCGACGAAGACATATATCGGTAGACGACGAAGCCGACGAGTTCAAACGTGATTGCGGCTTCGAATGCGAAGACCGTGTTCATGTAGTCGCGGAATGTCCGTTGTACAAGAAGGAGAGGGAAGTGTACGTGACTGAGCTGGGAAAAATAGATGGAACGTACAGGGAGATGTTTGAGGCATGGAATANCCCCCCCCCCCCCCCCGAGGTGGTGCACGCTCGTAGCCCCCTCGAAGGGTACCATCTCTGCCCTCGGGCCGCGTGACGTCACCCCAGACGGCAGGCAGTCGTACGGCCTGCTGCTGGAGTACTCGTTCAAGCAGGCGGACGCCGGGGAGGTGACCCCCCGGCTGGCGGCGCTGAACGGCTACCTCTACGACAGCGCCTACGAGGCGCAGATGTGCATGATCTTCGACTCTAACAAGAAGGTATTGTTTTTTTGGCATCCATCATCGTTCGTGTCAGCATGTGCTTGCGTTGTTTTGGTCGAAGAAAGTGGCATTATACGTGTTGGTTAGATTCGTCCCCCTGCTCGACTGGATCTTTCGTTGGCAACATGCAAGAAGTGGCGTCGTATGTCCTCGTTCATGGTCAAATTTCTTGTTATCGATTATTCTCGTTGATTGACAGTTCATCGTGCCCCCCTCGCCCTCACCTCCCTTCTCGCTGGTCCGTGCTTCGTGCTTCGTGCTTCGTGGTGTGGTGGTGACGGGGAGCCTGATTTTGTCACTAGCGGAGGTTCCCGTCGCAATCGTTCTGCTTCTGCCCGTCGATGGGCCGCCCGCTTTGTGTAGCCAAACCCCACCTGCTCTCCCCCTTGGAATGCTGTACTCTCTGAACAGCTCCCCCTTTTTTTTTTTCAGGTAGAATGTTGAATGTGTATACATTCACAGGTACAGAATACCCGTTCGAGGTAACGTCGCAACTGTCGTCGAAGGGAATATGTGTTGAAGGTCAAAGTCTTTGCAGTGAGTGGGGGGACAAGCCGGCTGGGCGCTGGGCGTTGGGCCTGTTGTCGATTGTCGTCTTCCGTTTCTATCCCTTTTTTGTACCGACAACGAACAACTACCTCCCTTCCTCCCTCCCTTCCTCCTCCCTCCTTTCCTCCTACCCTCCGACCGTGCCAAACGGCACCGCTTTCAACAAACGCTTGTTTCATTTGTTTGGTGTTGTTTGGCGTTGTGTGGTGTTGGTTTTGACCAGCTGCTGGCGGTGAACGACTGCTGGCCGGAAGCCACCAAGCTGGCGAAGGGGGAATACACCGTCAGGGTGCACGTGAGGAAATCATCAACACCGTTTCATATCATTCGTGATCGTTCCCCATCCGATAGCGTACATTCCTCGTTATCTATCTATGATCGGGGAGGTATTTTTTTCGCTGTGTATGTTCTACGTGATCGGGGTAATTTATTTGTTGATTGCCACCATAGAGAAGCGGCCCCACCTCCCTGTTTTTTTCTCTACATGATCGGGTTGATTTCTTCTCTACGGGTAGTTTTTTCCCGAAGGAGAATCAGTCCTGATACGGCAACGTGGCATTCGTTGGTGACGGCACATCTGCAGGCCTCGCTCGAGAGTAGCAAAAGGGTGGAAATCCCAAGTGAGCTAGAGAGAAGCATTGACGCTCACGTCCAGACCAGTCCGTGCCCACGTGTCGTACAAGAAGTGCAGAGAGGCGTGTTTGACTCGAAACCGTTGGATTCATTCAGCTAACGCCACGGTAAAGACCTCAAGGCCACCTCGCTCCTTTCCGTAGCATTTGCTTTCCCAGCAAGTGTGAGTGAACACAAGGTAGAAAACCAGGCCTATGCGATTCTCAGAAACCCACTGATGGTGTTCCCCACGAAACGCTCCTCTTCCTCCCTCGAGTTTGATTCGTATATTGTAGCATCACGTGCTGTACATGTTGAGGTTCAGTGGTGTGTTCGGTCACCAAAAAACCAACGTGTACTGTAGTATCAGTCGCTTGGTTCCCCGCCTTTAACGGAAAAATTGGGCGTTATTTCGACTTCAGGAAGTAGGGCGTCACTAGTTGTTCACACCAGGCGTCCTCCATCACCAACCCGCTAGACTGGCAACGCGCCTATCGAAGGGAGCAGCGAGATGGAATGAACAGAAGGTCCCACGCAGCTTTTTTGACGACGCCGTTATCTTTGTGCGCCCCTCCCTCCCAAACGAAAACCACAGGTCAGGCATCCGGACCAATCAGCACTGAAGAGGCTCAAGTCCCACCCCCTCATGCTCATCCGCAAGCTTTCCAGCAGCCTGGCTGTGCCCGTGCACGCGACCGTGATCGGCGTCTCGACGGCAGCCAAGCCTCCTCCGGCTCTCTGTCTGGACAAGTGAGGCTTCGAGGAATGGGGTTATTCTTTAGCTGAATTCTTTGAAGCAGTGCAAGATCGGGGGGAGGCCCTGCCGTATGGCGCATATGGTGCGTGCCGTCTCCGTTGCAGCACTTGTAGAAGGTCCTCAGGCATCGGGTCTTCACACGCTCTACTAGGGTGTCGTTCACCATAACGCCTCCTTGCTCTATGTGGGAGGCGTTCAATCGTCCGCGCTGACTACCCCAGCTCGAAATGGGGGGGGACGGCGTAGTCGGGGTCTGTATGGACAATACATTCAATCGTCCGTGCTGACCAACCCAGCTCGGAGTGGGGGGGTAGCGGCGTACTCGGGGTTTGTACGAATAATACATGATGTATCGCTGTACCATCCACGCCCCTCGAAAACGTGCCGCAGCCGCTGCTCCATGTCTCGGCGACACTCACCGATCGATCGTGCCCTTTTTTACGTGTTGGATTCATCCACTCGCGACTCAGGGGGCACTCGGCGGCGTACTTTTTCGCGGAGCCCAACCAGGAAAAGCTCCCCAAGGGGGTCAAACCCGGCGACCTGTTCACCGGTAAGGCAGGAACGACCTTGTTTGACATAGTGCTTGGCCTTTCAGATTTGGTGTTTGCTTTTTTAGACATTGTACGTCATTTGTTTATTCATCGCGCTTGGCTTTTGTTTTCGCCGTGTGCGGAAGGAGGACTGAGAGGGTGGCGAAAACATGATGAATTCAGCAGCTTGTAGCGGCATGGTTGTCCACTCCTTAGGGGGGATCTATTCTCGCGTATCGATACATACCGTGAGCGAGCGCGCTGTTCTCTTTGCATGGGTGGGATGGGCCAAGGACGTTTTGGAGCGGCAAGGGCTAGCTGTTGTTCTGAATTTTGAGATCGAACACGTCCATTCCGCTCGTCGATCTTGCAAGTGGTTTGGGACTGGTCATCCCACCGTGTATCCATCCAGGCATTGACGCGGTGCGTGATTATTGGGTTACCTGCTGCCTTGTTTTGATGTCGGAATGTCAAGGACGCACGTCCTTCGACAGCGGCGACAGCGGCGTCGGCGGCAGTAATCATCAACCAATGATGCAAAGGGCTGGTCAGTTTCGGGCACCATTTGTTTGGATTTGCCTCCTCAAAAAGGCTCCTCATCCAACAGGGAATGAAAAGCACGTCTGCTGAATCTGTAAGTATGTTGCCCTTGACGTGTATTGCGAGCCTCAACAATTACGTATGAGATGGTCGCACTTGAGACGCAACGCACCTAAATAGTCTTCTGTGCTTGGCAATAACGAACATGGTCGGGGTGTGCCTGCTACCCTTTGGCGCAGGCACGGCCTCCTACGTGCGCAACAAGACCAATGAAGGGGGCGACGGCAAGAGGCCCGGAGGGTACCCCATCTCTTACATCGCGGGCCCCGCTGCCCCGAAGGCCACCGAGGCTTCCCAAGACACCGCAACCCCCGCCCCCTCGGTCAACGGGGGCGGCGGCAAGGAGGGGGAAGCAGCCGCTGCCGGAACCCCCGTGTGAGTTTGATTCCGTGACGCCTCCATCTCGAAAGTCCATGTGGTCTGCCAGCTGGCACCTAGATGGAATGGAGTGCTGTTTGTGTCCATGCGCCGCCAGTCCTCCTCGTCGATGAGTGTAGTCGCGTTGAGACGTGAGGGGTTGCAGCGAGACTTGAGGGGTGGCGATTTCCACTTTTTCGTTCACTCAAGCCGTCGTGGCAGGATGCCGTTATGAGGATGCCGCTGCATTGGGGGGCGTATCGTACAAGATAAGGTATTTTCGGGAGAGGGAGAATTTGGATTATTTCTGGTGGTGTCCAAGGCGTGTGTTACTCTCTGCCCCCCCCTCAAGGTTTGAGACTGCCCCCCCCCCAACACCTTTGGTTTTTTTTGTCCTCCTCTAGTATTGGTTTGGACACGGAATTCTTGATAGATATTTAGTTGGGTACCCGTGTGGATATCACTACGCCTGCCCCTAGCGCACGGTCCCCCACCTCTGTAGAAACTTTGCCGCCCCCGCTTTGCCCCGTCGTGATGGGTCCCACAACGTTCACCGTGTCGAGCGGTTCGTCCGCTGTACCGATTGGTGGATATTTTTCGCTGCACCTTGACTCGTTTGTTCCCCTCGCCCCAAGCAGTACGGAGACGGAGAAGATGCTGAACGCCCTCCGAGACTTGCGTGTGAAGCACCTGGAGAACTGCAAGGCGAAGACGGCCGAAGACTTCCAGGAGTTGTACAACACCGCCAAGCATCAGGCAAGTGGCCAGGGGGTGTCTCGCCTCCTGTGGCCTGCTGGGGGTGACTGCGTCGTGACGTGTACGTGACGTGTATGTTTCGGATCGTTGCGTCCAGCCTTCCTTTCAAGCCATGAAAATTAACAATAGTTACATGTACGTCCCACGGTGGACGAGAGCTGCTAGGCATCTTGTCGCTTGTAAAAGTGTCATGACGCAGAAACTGTTGTCGTTGATGATGAATGGCCGACATGTTCGCCCGTCCTGCTGAGCATTAGGATGAGCTGGCCGATCCATGTACGTAGTCTAGCGTAGGGATATTTGTTCGGCTGTCCTTGTTCTGCGGGCAATCAGTGAATTCTTGCTGCTCTTGCCTGTGTGTTTCTTGTTTTTCGGTGGGTGGCTCTGTTCGCCTGCCCTCGATTTGTGTTTCCAGATCCGAGCGGATGGCGGCACCGATCCGGACACGTTCCTGCCGCTGCTGCTGGCCAGGCTGCACTTCCTCGACAGGGAAGGCGTGAGGCGGGGGGTGAAGGCGGAGAAGTCGGCAGAAGGGGCGAGGTCGGATACCAGCGACGCAGGAGGTGCGGGGGTTCCCTCATTAGGGCGGGTGGACGGTATCGGGCGGGTGTAACCTCGTCGTACGGATAAGAGTGATCGAGTTGTGAAATGCCTTGGTTAGGGTGGGTGCCCGCTATGTCATGGCTGCTGTCATATCTTTGGACAGATAGACCAGTCGACTTGGGTTGTGCTTTGGATGGGGCGGGTGAAATCTCTTGGCACAGATACTACAATCGAAGTGGCCTTTATGTTTTGTGTAGAGCGAGTGAGTAGGGCCTGACACATAAGCATATCCACCGTAGTCAAAGGCCTCACGACTGTTAACCCATTCTTCCTATCTGCCCTGTCTGTCTGTCTGCCTTGCGTTGCCTTGACGTACCAAATATCAACGCGGAACATTATCGAGTCGCTTGGTTCACGAGAGGCACTTTTTTTGTTTTACCTTGATTGGGCGTCCTTTGGTGTGCCTAGGAGGTGTATCTAGCGAGGAGCCAGTTGAGCTTGAAGCCCAGGGGGGGCAAGGTGCGAGGCAGAGAAGAAGGGAACGGGCTATAAAAGCTGGTCGGTTCGGCGGAATGGATGCGAAACGGTCCACTAGATGAACCGGCGCTTGAAAGGCCGACTTTTTTTTTTCCGCCAGGAGGGTTGTGTCTGCGCTCACCCCGCTTACCCGTGTGTGGGTCATCTTGCTTCTGAATGTTGCCACTCTCCCCGCCCCCCACCCAATGTTTTCTGTGCCGCAGGCAGCTCGGCGGCCGCGGGGGGCTCAACCGCGAGGGGGCATGGTGAACCAGCAACAGCAGCAGCAGCAACAACAGCGGTGACAGAAACGGAAGCCGCCGCGGCACCATCTGTGGGACCGGGAGGTGCTGGTGAAGGGGGAGGCAACGGCGGTGTTGCAGGGGGGGATGAGAAGAAGAGCAAGGATGCGGAACTGGCGGCTTTGCGGGCGGTGGTCACCGCGGCGGATGACGTCCTCGCCACCATTGATCAGGTACATGGCACATGGCACATGGCACATGGCACATGGTACATGGTACATGTCAGGTAAACATAGCCACTGGCATGGTGTTCCCGTCGTTTCGGAGCGGTTCAGGGTATGGTATGGTATGGCATGGTATGGTATGGTGTGGTACTGTGGGGTTTCGTGGTCTGCTGTCTCGTCTTGCGTGCGGTGCACGTACACGGGTCGCGGTTGGCCCAACTCTCGGAATATGTCGCCACCAAAAAAATTCTGAGAATATTCCGTAGTTGATGCAGTTCCGAAGTTTCCTGAGAACGTTCCCGGTATCATTTTCATTCCCCAGTTTCTTGTCCCGCTCGTTCCGCCCCCTCTTGTTCAGGCTGAGGTGGCCAAGCAGTTCGGCACAAACGTGGACACGGAAGACTCCGGCATGGTCACCGCCCGGAAGGAGTTCGACGAGAAGAAGAAGGCGTTGGCGGATGCCTTAGCGAGGAAGGCTCGAGCTCTTGCTGACGTGGAGGATATTCTCGGTAAGGAAGCATCAGTATTTTCCATCTCGGAGTTGGCCGTGCGATACCTCATTTAGAAAGTTTAGTTTCTCGCCCAATACTGCTTTTGGTGAGCAGATTGTTTTGCTTGGTGTTGCCGTGCGTTCAATGGATGCAATGTGTGCGCCCACGAGCTGACCAGGGAATACATCACTGTTCATGCCAAGTACATGCCAATGCCACTTGCAACAGAGCGTACTTGGAAAGGCCGCCTTTTCTGTTTCTGCCTCCGCCTCTTGGTTGTCCGTTAGAACGACTTCCACAACAATTTCAATCAAGTATATTTCCATGTGTTTGTTAGGTGGAGTCAGTCGTGATGCATGACAACTCATACTGTTCGGTGCACTGCGGTTTTGTCGGCAGCGACGATATCTTCACACGGCCGATGCTGTTGGAAGGCCCTACCCATGGGCCCAGTACTGTAGGAGTGGGGTTTACACTGCAACACTGCACCAAACAACACACAGCGACGGAGTATCGTTCAAAACCGAAGAAAGACGGCCTTTAGCTTGTAGGCGAGGACTGTGGAAATTGTTTCATTCCCTCGTTTCCGTGAAATGAAAGGCGTGCCGCTTTGGAGGTTGGTTTCTTCCGTGCAGATGAGATAGCGTTTTAAGGTGAGCGTGCTGCTGGAGCGTGCGCTGAAGGTTTGTATTTTTGCCGATCGCGATCTTGTCCGCCTTTTTCTTTCTTTGCTTCGCAGGAGAATCCGAGATGACCAAGGCTAGCAGCCCCTTCCTCGCGGCTTACTCTGACCTTCTGAGGTGAGTCGCCACACTTCAGTACCGTAGTAGGGCACATAGACCTCCCCCCCCCCCCCCCCCCCCCCCCCCCCCCCCCCCCCCCCCCCCCCCCCCCCCCCCCCCCCCCCCCCCCCCCCCCCC